ACTGAACAGTGATTTTACCTAGAAAAAGAGAAGGGTACCAGAGTACTTCAAAAGCTGAACAAAGATTTACCCAGTAGGCAGAAAAAGCTATCTCTAAGTTCAGCTAAGCTACTAAATGGTCCTATTTACACCAATGAGAGAAGGGGAGAGCAAGGTGAATAAAACACTAAGTACACCTTCTTAAATATTGTCCTTAAAAAGCTAGGATGGAGCAAGGCATTCAAACCATCAACGGCAGAGACCCAGCCCAGGAAAAGCTACTCCACTCCATAGCTCCCACCAGCCTAATTAGTTTGACTGTACCCAGGAGCAAACAATTGGGATGAGTTTTTAATTAAAAGAGAAATTAATGTGAATAATGAGCTTAAGGCAATGGGAAGGCAACAAATTTATAGCCTATGTGTTTTCATAAAAGAAAGACAGAAGAGAAAGGCAAACTGAGGTTTTTGAAAAAGCTTTCAAACATGCAAGCTCCACCTTCAGGTTCCTTGGAATATATGACAACTTAATTTTTAAATAGACATACCACCAACAGTGTCTGTCAACACTTCACGGGAAGTGACGATGTTCCAACAGAGGCAAAAGCTCAAAAATCAGCACTGATAAGGAGATGTTCGCACACCCATAAAACCTTTTGAGTTAATATTTGGCATGAAAAAAATGTTCTAACTATAGAAAAACACTGCCAGCTACTGAAATATATTATTTTCTTTGCTGCTATTATAGCAAAAATTGCTTTCTTCCTTTTTTCTTTTTTGCTGAATAGTATGTTGTATTTCTAAAGCAGAAAGCTATCATAAGCGCTAGCTTATTTCACTGTTCATAGCAGTATCACAGAATGACAGTGAAAGTGCATACACAGCTCCAGAGAAGTGCTGCACGTCAGCAAACAGAACCAGAATATTTTGTCTATATGCTAACCAGCACTTTCAGCATCCTACCTCTTATTTTCTATTAACACTGTCCCATGTAAGATCAATCAAATGTCTACTGATGCCGCCTTCAGTTAGGCCTACTGGATTTCTATTATCTTATAAAAATCTCCCCACATCACCTTTCAGTCAGAGCAGTTACCTAAGCTCACTGGACAAGCTCTACACTGGTAAACTATGCAGTTTACCACACTTTCCATTCACTTCCATACCTGTGCAGCCTGTAGTTGGCAAACATTAATGTGGCCACAAAAGAAAATTAATCATAGGAAAAACTTGAACCTGTATCTGCATCATAGCAGATACATGCAAATACATACAAAATTAGCTTTGCAAATTATTCAGTTTGTAGAGATGGTTTAGCAGTTGTGGTAGAAAAGCGTGTCCAAAGGGGCCTCCAGGACCTTTTCTTTTGGCGGTGGCATCAGCTTACAGAGACTGTACAACTGCTGCCTTTGACATGTTCCTCTTCAGCAGTATCTTTTCCCTTCCTTCCTCACAAACTGCCTATTCCCAAGCTCTTCCCTGAGGCTTCCTTACCCATTTCAGCCCCAAAACAAGCTGTTGCCTACAGGGCATCTCCTTTTGGCTCTGGTAAGAGCTTTAGGCAGTGTCGTTCCAACTAGCTGAATACAGATGAGGTCTGAAACTTCAAGCTCCCAAATTGCCCCAGTCCACCACTTCATTACCTAGCTCCTCTCTTACAGCCCAGACTCACTTAGACTGCTTCTGTGCCTCCTCATCAATATTAAGTGATTAAATGTTAACTTAAAATAATAAAAAGCAAGGAGGAAGCCATCTAGCCAGTCACTTACAAGAACTCAGGTCTGACTCTCCAAAACATGTAACTGCAAAGTAAAGGAGAGCATCTCAATGAATAGGGTTTTTCAGAAGGGGCCAGCAAGCTCCAGCTATTGAGACCTTAACACATTTCAGCTTGTAGAATACAGGAAGATCTTGGGTAGGACCTGCAAGAATCAAGACCTCAGTGCACCAAGAGAGGACAGAGGAAGTGCTGCAAGAGGGGGAAGAGGAAGGCACTGCTGATTACACACCCCACAGGACAGGGAAATGGAAGCTACATCTAACTTACCCCTCTCGAGCATATCATCCTTTCCCAATGGCCTGCCTTGGGGTCTCCTCTTTACAACTATCACCTAAACTGACTACCCCTGAAAGGCAGTAACAAACACTGCTTGTCTAATTAAAATCACTAAGTATTAGCAGTTCCTTTGAAGGACAGGAGCTTGGAACTTCAGTCTTGGTAACTTACATTCTAATTGCATAAAATCTGTATGTGTCACACCAGGTGATGAGAACCAGCTGAACATTTGACAATATAACACTGATTTATTTAAAATGGATACTGACAGCATGGTCTAAGCAACAGCTATGTTACTTCTCAATACTTGCATAAAATGGTATTAGCATTACTGTGAATTGTGTGTGGCAAGACTAACAGAAAAGCTGTGTTTGAAGAAGAAAGTAGCAGATGCTTCTGTTATTTTAAGTATGTAGCAAACAATAAATAATTATGCCCTAGGCAATTGAAGAATTTACTTTTGGGACAGCAAAGCAGACTTGGGGATTAGGGTTTTAAGGGTGTTGACTTGCTTTGAACACATCTTCTGCAACAGCTGTTTAGTTTTGCACCAACATGAAGCCTTTGTTTAAATTCTAAGAGTACGCTTCCTCCAGAGCTCACCAGTAATGCTGCTCACACTAATCAAATCTGAAGTCACCCACACTAGATTTTAGTCGAGCTTGGCATTGAGATACTACTGTGGTGCGAGTACACTCCCTCCACAGTGTTTACTGAATTCTTAAGTTTTCTACTCATTTCACAGCTGACAGCTGGTTTATATTAAAGGCACAGCCCTCTCACTAGCCCATGAGCTGGGGAATGCAAAGCTGTCTGCAAATGCAAGAGGAAAAAACAGAACATAAACACAAAAAGACTGAAACGGCACCGGAAGTGCAAAACGGGAGCTTGAGACCAGCCAAATCAGATTCCTACTGAAGCAGTACAGCTCATTTCTCTCTACCCACACTCTCCTTCACAGGGGAGGAATATCAGGGTGCACAAGTAAAGGTTCAAGAGCAGAACGAATTTAGACATGCAACACTCCACCACAGTTCCTAAATGTTGTTTAACTGTTGAATTCGTTCCATAACTGAAAAAGTATTCAGCACAACCAAGTCAGTTCCCCTACCACCACTTAAATCTGAACATGCTGTATATCCACCAGACTTGCATGCATGTGTTAACCTTGCAGCAATAACAGAAATCCATAGATTCAGACTTTGTTCCTATGGATACACATGTATGAACAGGTCCATAATTCCAAGCTGCACAACTCTGTGAACATGAAACCTTCTTTTCACACAACAGTTCTTGAGAGACAGCCACCAGCCGCAGAACTTGAGAATTACCACTACTGGCAGGCTCTGTGGCTCTGGCTCTCTTTTAAAACCACCTGAGCAAAAGTCTCATTTGTGTATTGTAGACCTTTTTCCTTTTCAATGCATGAAGGTGGTCATTTTATATTTCTCTGAGACAGCTCTGCTTTTGCTGGCAGAGATCAGAAGCCACTCCTCCTTGGAAGCTTGAAGAAAAAAAATGCTTTTGTGTTAGCAGTGACACTGCCCCCTTTTAGATGCAGAATACATCATTTAGTAATACATTTTGATTACAATGAACCAACAGTTCCTTGTTAGAGGCATACAAGCAAACAAGAACATTAAACAATGCCAAACATTACATACGCCGACCATCAGCTCAGCACAGTTACATTTAGCTGGCAGTCACTGTGCCCTCTGTAATTGTGACCTGTTTAAAAAGGGAGACTTAAACAGTACATGGCCATAAAGCAATAGCCATGGTTAAAGAACAGATGTATGAACAGATATAGAACCACTGTCAGTCTCTGACATACCTTGAACAGGGGGTTATTTTGCATACAGCCAGGAAGATTAATCCATTCCTGCTTTCATCTGTGGTTTATTCAGGGATTTGAGCTTTAGCTATCATCTATCTTGTTCAGAAAACAACTCCAAAAGAAAAAGGCTTGAAAAATTAACTACAATTAAAATCAGAACCCTTGCTAATACTACAAAACTCCAAAGAGCCACATCAGAAAACACATACTGAAAGAAGGTGGAAAGCAGGTGCTGGAGATTCTACTTAAGTGCATGGAAACAGAACATTTTGCAGCACTGTACATCAGCCTGTCACAAAGTTTAAAGCGAAATGTGGTCCCTAATCCAGTAACCAAAAGGGGAAAAAAATGCTTTACTAGAGACAGCACAAAGCTATCGGAAACTGAAAGAAAAGGTTATTCAGTGCATTTCTGCTGGATTTGCAAGGCCAAGAGAATGGGCTATTTCCAATGATTGTGTCCAATTCACAGTTTTCATATTCAGCAGTATAAAACTGACATTGTCAGCTTTACTCCTGCTTCCTAGAGCTGCTCTGAAACCAATCAAAACTCTACAAGAAGTGAAATAGACTACTTTAGGGGAGAAAACAGAGCCAGGCCTCCCTTCCTTGGGATGCTAAAGAAGTCTAAAAATCTACTCTGTTCTTACACACCTTGCACACACTTTCCTCCACAAGCAAGTAGCTGCAGCCTGGAAGCCCTGACTCCAAAGCTCCAGTTAGATCATCCTCATTTGCGTAGGCTTCTCTGTCTCAGAAGAGTCACCTCAGGGGAAGTTTGCCACTGCCAGGGGAAGGCAAATCAGTCTCTAGACAGGGTAAATGCATTTACTGTTCTCTGCTCTGAGCTTGCATATATCCCACTGAAAAATACTCTTCCAAGAGGGGTTTATTTTCCTGTTGTGCCACACAAATTCCTTTATTCTAAACACCTTTCATAACAAGACAGACAAAGCTTCAAAAGACTTGATTTCACTTACTCAACACCAATCTCCTCCGCAAGAAAAATTAACCAGCATTTTAAGTGGGTACAAATTTGATTTTAACACAGCCATTCACATTCAGAACAGCAGCACAGATACTACAGGAAAGAATATTTGAAGTCTCAAATATTCTTTGCCCTCCTGTACCTGATGTACAAGTGTACTATAAGTGAGATGTAGGGCCTACATTTTGGTTTACCCATTGGTGGTTCTTTTCAGCAGCTGAGAAGGAATACCAGCTCTTGCTATTCATACATTGCTCCTACTAAAACACAAGAGGGAGGTAACCAAAGAACACTGTTATTTCTTCCCAAGCATGATATGAGAAAAAAACTCTGGGCTTAAGGCATGTTAAAAGAATAATTCTATATTATGTTATCTGTGCTTAAAGCTATTCAGCACCCATTCAGACACTGCAGTTATGTAAAAAAGAGAAACTGGCCGGTCTACCGGGGGGTGGGGGCACACCATACAGGATGTTTCTTTTTGTTTTTAATAAACTCCACAAAGATTAAACTACTTGCACTATTCAATCCTATACGCCCTCCACTGGAAGGTTTTGCTTCAGTTATTTGCCAGATTCAGAAGATAACTTTGATGCCTGGGGTTTTCATGCTCTTAAGATTTCTAAAATTCTCTTTCTGTGGTTTGGTAGATTGTTTTGAACAAGGAGAGGGCAGCTGTAGGTCTTATCTCAAATATTTTCAAGTGTTTGTGTTTTAAAAGTTAGTTTTCTAGTCTAACAATCTTTTTTAGAGCTCTACTACTCAGTAAGAGTTACAATGTTGAAATAAATCTGGGTTAAACAAACATTTTGATTTGGAAAGTAAACATAGACATTCATCCAGTTAGCTCTAGTTCAGTAGTCATGCTTTAAATGATCAAGGCTCTTGCAATCTAAAATTAGGAGATTCTGCTTGCGAGTTTAAATTGCCCTCAATAAGGAAGAGGCGGATTTCTGAACTTCAGCGTTGCTCTGTTTTACTAACACTGCTTTGAGAAAAAGATGCACACCAGCAAGACTAAAGTGCAAAGACAGATCACAGCCTTACTCCTGGACAGGCAATACTTGTGCCAGGCTTCTGTGAAAGAACACATGACAGCTTGCAGAGGTGATTACCTAGAACAACTTCACCCTTTGTCACAGTTCCCATCCCACAGTTACAACCTCTACTATCTCGCCCACCATCCTGCCTTATGGACAGCTACATTTAACCTGTGTTCTGGTGACTTTTCACTATCTCACCAGTTGCCCCAGACTGCTGACTGCCCTATTCATCAGCTCTCATCAACTTTCTCCTCCTCACAAACAGTAATTGTCTCACCACTGTGATGGCTGACATACAAAATTACACATCCTTGAGCCCCACCACCAATCCCAAGATAACTCCCCAGTTGTCTGTCTGTCCACTGAGCCAGTCTGAAATACATATAACATGCTCTCCATTAGCAACGCGAGCCCTTTCAATAAAATACAGTACAAAGTCAAGTGCTTTGGAGAAGCAATTTTACCACTGATACTTTCATCAACCAGGCTGTAATCTTAACAAACCTGTCACATTTTATACCAAAACCTCCCTTCCTTGGGGCAGATCTGTTTTCATGAGTATATATATTTAGCTGCTAAATCTTCTTCCACTGAATTGCAAATTAACTATTACCATTAAAATTGCCCAGACTCCACCTCAAGCTAATGGCTTTAAAGTCTCCTAGGTCTCCTGTTACCCTTTTAATACACCAGAATTAATTTATTTTAATCTTTGTGGTACTGATTCAGTCACAGCTGCCTTAACATAGTGCTCTCACATTACAGCCTTATTGAATCTCCCTTGCTTACAATCACTCACTTGATGTCAGAAGCTGTCCACTACTGTAACACCAATGACATGACACAGTGCAGCTACCCACTGAGTTTTCAAAACCAAGGATTTTGTAGCGGAACTGCCGCAGAAGCCTATTTACTAATTTCACATCCTGTTATGATTACCAAAATAATCCGACCTGCTCTTCAAGCCTGGAAGGATAAAGTAAATTAGCTGTAGCCTCTTAAGAGGACATCATGGTGCCTTTCAAAAGAAACCGGACTCAGCAGGCAGGACTCTTCATCCACAGCAGGAGTCCTGCTCAGGTATACCAGGCCTCCTGCATGTACCACAGCAACAGATTCTGGAGAGAAAATGATGCCACCATAATTTGTTTTAATGAAAACACAACGTTGTTTTCATGAAACAAACACATTTATATTGCTTCCTGGAGAAAACCTACAAACTCGCTGTGATGACCTGTGACTGCATTTGCAGAGAACTAGATTTCTGGCTCAGCAACTACATGCCATTTATAGCATGAAAGCAAGTCATCCTCAAAAATTAGCTTGTCATAAGTAGACCACTGATCCTCTGTGTAAATGAAAACAGGATGGAAATAGACATGGGAATACCAGAGGAAAAAAGGGTATCTAGAGGGAAAAGCACACACGGGAACCTAGGACTTGTCCTGATGTTAGCAGCTCAGTTTAGCAGGTCATCCTATAGAGCAGCATCACGCTGGCCCACAACCCAACCCATGATTACACTCACTGGTATGCCACAAGAAACCTGTAGTGGACAGTTGAGAAGAAAGGACAGAGAAGATTGTGACAACACTGAGAAGACCCTGGTCTCCACAGACATCTTCAGAGATGACTAGAAAGTCCTCTTGATCCCAGGAGTTACCCAGAACCACCCATATTTAGGAACTTTGGGTACACCAAAACAAGCAGAGGTCTGCAATTCATATAGCTACTAAGTAGAAAAGGACTTTACAGGAATTACAAAGTAGTAGCAAATAATAACACTTAAGTAATTATTAATTCAGGCATAAGCCATCAAAGCAGAGCAACTGAACCTAGAGGCATGCATGATGCAGAAGTAGGGCACCACAATGAAATACAGCGTTCAAGGAGACCAACACAGAATTCAGAGGACAGACTGTCTTCATCCTGAAGCAAGCCTGCTTGAGCAGAATTCTCCATGAGAAATATGGGGACTTGAGAAAACTGCTCAGACTATGAGATTGTAGAATGACATAACACAGCGCAGATGAAGCGGAAAAATGCTGTGGTCTATTACAGAAAATCCAGAGAGACTCATGGGAAAGTTGGATCCAAGAAATTTCAGATCATACAGACAGGCCTGCAGGAAGATGCTGGGAGTCTCAAGAGATGTTTGAGAGAGTAAACCAAGCCTGTTTAACACAAAAAACAAAGTCAGTGATGAACATAGTGAGATAGGCTTTAACAGTAACATACTGAGGCACAGAAGAGTCAGCTACACATCAACACTATGGCCTCACAAACCATTAAGTCCTTAAAGAAAAAACTCCCAGATTAAAAAAAAAACCCACACTAATTAATAACTCCCCACAGTGCAGGGAGTTTTGCTATTTTTGTTGAATGAATTATACACATCTTTGAGAAAGAGGAGAGAGAAGATGAGCACAAGGAAGAAGAATTATAATGTCTGTAAAGGCTGAACAAGCTGGGAAGATGATACAGAGACTGAACACCTAAACTGGTAACTTGAGAGCAATTCAGAGGTATTCACTTGGCCAGAAGCTACCAAAATGGCTGACAATGCATGAGACAAACCAGGATTTTGACACAGCCACTGAGTTCCCATTCATAAAAAAAAAAAAGACACATGTGGTATTGCACAATCCCATTTCTGACCAATCTGAGCAAAATATTACTGTGTATCTGCTTCAAGAGAATTCTAACCAAAACCCACACTACAAAAAAATCCCCACACAGAACAAGCTGCTTTTACACATTTTACACAAATGAGGCACTGTAATTCAACCTGTACTTGCTATGGAAGAAAGCACAGGCAAGTGACTGGAAACTATTTCAAGCTCCTTTCTGAACTTCGCTCAAAAACAACTATCAAGAACAGAAACAACTATCAAGAACAGTTGAAATAGCAGCAACTACCCAGTAGGAAGGTGGAAGTGGTAAAAAAGCTGCAGGACTGATGAGATGTCTCTATATAAGCAACACATTTCCTCCTTGAAGAACATTAACAAGTGACTGGTTTAACCTGAAGACGGCAACTAAGAGGGACAACAGCACAAAAGTCACATAGGAAAAAAAAAAAAATCTTAAGGAAGATATTGACAAAAGCTTTCAGGAACACAATTCAAAAATTTGTCATCTCTGCTACAATGACCAGACTGGAATAATCATAAAAGACTGTGCAAATGATTCTAGACAATTAACATCAGGAAAAAAGAGCCTAGTCCTAGAAAGGGGGTCAGGGAACGGATGGACATATAATAGAGATGGCCACGTTTAGGTTTCCTGTCAGAGGAAAGATAGTGCTGCTTAAATCCAAAGAGACACAGGAAGACATGGAGCACTTCAGTTGCTGGGGCTGGATGACACTAAGGATCACTACACAATGCATTTGACACATCTGGGCACACTCACTGTTACAGTAAAATTCAGACGCAGCAGAGGGAAGATACCAACAGACTGCTGCAGCCTCTTGTCTTCAGCACCTCAGGGTATTTTCATAAAATACCCAGGAAAGGGTACCATAAAAGCAACCTTCTGCCTTCCAAGAGAAAGCACGAACCGAGAACTGCACACAGCTAACAAGGTGGCAAACATGGCTGACTACAGTGCAACTGAAATTATGCCAAATTGTAATATACTCAGATAAAAAAGATCTAGCTTGTAGGATACACAGGCAGTGGAAGAGGGCCAAAACACACCTTGCGGGGACCTGTGCCAGAAACAAGGGGTCACTAGGAGTGAAGATACCAGAAAGAACTGAAGAGACAGCCTGAAGGACAGCAGGCTTCTCCAGCAATCCAGGAAGACAAAAGTATCAAGACATACAGCTTACACACATGGTATTTGCAGTTCTTCACTGCTTCACAGCATGGAGAGAGGCAAAAACAAGTTTTAACATTTGCAGCATACAGGCGTTTGTAGGAGAATAGGAAATGGCAAAATTCATACTTCAGGTCTATAGTCTGACTATTGATTGGGATTAATGAGTTACAGGTAACGATTACATCACAGAAGTAAAGGGCGATATACATGTGATTGCCACCAGGATGAGAGTTCAGTAGAAATGACATAGGAGAACTTGCTTTTATATTAATGCCAGTATTAAGCTCACTTGATTTTCTTTATTCTCTGTGCTCCCGCATAAAGGTTTTCTCTAAGGTTGCTCAA